AAGAAGAATATATTCTTGGGTTGTGTGATTTGAGGGCTAGTGATAGGTGGGTTTCTATTTGTGGTTCTAAAGGGCTGTGAACAGTGTCGAAAACACTGTTCACGTTGTGAATAGTGCTGAATTTCAATTTTTAGTGCCCTTTTTTTTGGTATATTGCCTCCTTGGTGTTCGATTGGATGCTTTGAAACATTTTGAACTGGTTTTTGATGCAAAGGAATGAGATTTTTGGTTGATTTCCTCCTTTGGCTATTGTTCCAACAAATTGATTGACTATTGTTCTGCAGCTGGGACTTTGATTTTCCATTGGCCTGTAATTGTTGTGTCAGTTTGGCTTCTATTCTTATTGGGCCTTTGAACTTCAGTTGGGCTTGGTGATTTGAAATTGGTTCTGTTAATTTCATTGTTGTTATTTTTGGCTAGTGACAATTATGGCGAGCGACAATTCTGGTTCTCATCTGTCAATTAGTTTAAAATTGACTAAGATTGTTAATCAATTGCAGGAGCTCCTTCAACAACCTAATACTCTCTCCATCTCACCTTCTATAGGTTTGTTCACTTCGGGTTCTTCAGTTATATCTCAAACTGCCTGGGTCTTTGACTCAGGTGCTACCCATCATATGACTAGTGATTCTTTCTTATTTGCATTTACCTTTTCTCCTCCATCTGTTTCTGTGCTTGCAGTTAATGGTACACAAATGTCATTGGCTGGTGTTGGATCTATAATTTCTCCGCATCTAACACTTTCTAATGTTTATTATATTCCACAACTTACCATAAATTTAATTTCAGTCAGTCAGCTATTTGACTCAGAATTTTCAGATCATTTTTCCTCTTCTGGTTGTATTGTACAGGATTCACGTTCCAAGAAACTGATTGGGACAGGCAGTAGAAAGGGAGGATTGTATGTGTTAGACGAGTTACATATTCCTAACATTGTTGCTTCTACTGTTGATATATCTTCTTTTCATTTAAGTCCACAGTTTTCTAGTTTTTATTTGTGGCATTCTCGTCTTGGTTATGTGTCCCACTCTCGTTTAAAATTTTTAGCCTCTACTGAAAATTTGGATAATTTAAAGTGTCATGATATTTTCAGTTGTAGTGGATGCAAGTTAGCTAAATTTACTGCATTACCTTTTAATAAAAGTTCCACTAGCTCACTTGCATCTTTTGATTTGGTTTATTTTGATGTTTGGGGACCGGCTTCTATTCCCACAAAAGGAGGGTCAAAATATTATGTCTCTTTCATTGATGATTATATTAGGTTTTGTTGGGTTTATCTCATGAAACATCGTTCTGAATTCTTTTCTGTATTCACTACTTTTTGTACTATGATACGTACTCAATATTCATCTATTATTAAATATTTTTGATGTGACCAAGGAGGAGAATATTCTTTCAACTCTTTTCGTGATCTATTAAAATCTGATGGTACTGTTTGACAATCTTCTTGTACTGATACACCTGAACAGAATGGTATAGTAAAGCGCAAACACTGACATATTATGGAGACAGCACGCTCTTTCTTTCTGTCAGCAAATGTCCCAAGTTCTTTTTGGGGGGAAGTAGTTCTTATGGCAGTCCATCTGGTTAATTCTATTCCCACTGCCATCACCTCTGGAATTTCTCCATTTGAAAAACTATGTGGTAAGCCACCTGATTATTTCTCTTTGCGTGTATTTGGGTGCACCTATTTTGTTTTGTTTCCTAGTGTTTTTCGTACTAAGCTCTCTGTTCGTTCAATTTTATGTGTTTTCCTTGGTTATGGTGAGAGTCAAAAAGGTATCGTTGCTATAATCCTGTTTCACACAAACTCTATGTCTCTCGTCATGTTATTTTCATGGAGCATATTCCTTTCTTTTCTATTCCATCTAGTTCTTCACATTTGTATAAATCTGATCTCATTTATATTGACCCATCACTCGTCCCCCTATTGTGCATTCATATGTTCGCAGGAATTCAACCATCTCCTCTACAGATGTGGTGCCTCCCCTTTCTTCTCCTGCCACCCAATCAGGTTTAGACAATGTGGATCATACCCCACGCTATCCTCAGCGCCTCGCAAATATCCAGACAGGTTTGGTTGGAGTAACAGTTGTTATTCTCCTGACTTTTGTTCTTTCCTTACTTCTATTTACTCCTTATCTGAACCCACCTCCTACAAGGAGGCTTTACTTGATCCACTTTGAAAATAGGTTATGGAAGAGGAATTGTCTGCCTTACATAAGACCAGAGCTTGGGAACTAGTGCCTTTACCACCTGGTAAACGCCCCATTGGTTGTAGGTGGATTTATAAGATAAAAACCAAGTATGATGGTTCTGTGGAAAGGTATAAAGCTCGATTAGTAGCCAAGGGTTTTGCTCAGGAATATGGTATAGACTATGATGAGACTTTTGCCCCTATTGTAAAGATGACCACTGTTCGCACTGTGATTGTAGTTGCTGTCATTCGCCAATGAAATTTGTCTCAGATGGATGTGAAAAATGTATTTCTTCATGGAGATTTAAGTGAAGAGGTTTTTATGACTCCTCCTCCTGGATTGTCTCATAGTCCTGGTCAAGTATGTCGACTTCACCGAGCTTTATATGGCCTTAAACAGGCTTTCAGGGCATGGTTTGCTAATTTTTTTCGGTTATTTGTGACTTTGGTTTTCGCACCAGTGACCATGATTCTGCTATCTTTTTACGGTTTACTTCCTCAGGTTCTATTATTCTCTTACTATATGTTGATGATATGATTATTACGGGTGATGACACTGCTGACATATGCTTATTGAAAACCCAGTTGCAGGACTATTTTGAGATGAAAGATTTGGGACAACTTAGATATTTCTTGGGTATTGAGATTGCATCATTTCCTAAAGGATATCTTCTCTCTCAGTCCAAGTATGCTTCAGATGTTATTCAACGAGCTCGTTTATCAGATAATCGGACAGTTGAAATACCTTTAGAGCTCAATGTTCGTTTCTCTTCTTCTGATAGTACTCCCCTGTCTGACCCTACGCTCTATCATGCTATTGTTGGGACTTTAATATATCTTACAGTCACTCGTCTAGATATCTCCTATGCTGTTCATATTGTTAGCCAATTTGTTGCCTCACCCACCACTATTCATTGGGTTACGGTTCTTCGAATTCTTCGGTATCTTCGAGGTACTCTACACCAGAGTTTGTTATTCTCCTCCTTTTCTTCTATGGAACTTAGGGCTTATTCTGACGCTGATTGGGCTGGTGACTCTATGGATCGTAAGTCCATTACGGATTTTTGTATTTTTCTTGGTGATTCTCTTGTTTCTTGGAAAAGTAAGAAGCAAATTGTTGTTTCTCGTTCATTTGCTGAAGCTGAATATTGTGCTATGGCATCTACTGTAGTTGAGATAGTTTGGTTACGATGGCTCCTTGCTGATCTTGGCATCATGTTACCTGCGCCGACTCCTATATATTGTGACAATACTAGTGCTATTCAGATTGCTCATAACTCAGTCTTTCATGAGCGCACAAAGCATATTGAGATTGATTGTCACTTTGTGCGTCATCATCTTCAGCTGGGCAATATCTCCCTCTCTTTTCTTTCTTCCACTGTACAGTTAGCAGATTTTTTCACAAAATTGCATACTATTACTCGCTTTCGTCTTTTTTTTTGGCAAACTCTTGATGTTTTCTTGCTAGCACATCATGAGTTTGAGGGACGGTGTTAGAGTAGTTAGAATATTTAATCTTAAGGGTAGTTTAGTTTTTTTATTCTTTTATGTTGTCCTAATATATAAGGGCCTTTTGTATGCATTTTTCCATTATGCTGTAATACAATCATTCTCTATTGTCTCTTCTCTTTCTCTCTTTACTTTTATCAAAGTTTACACTTATATTCTAGAATATTTTTCTAATCCAACTTTAAATGAGTTTTCTTTTAATTTGGACTCTTAAATTATTATCTTAATCTTGACTCTTCAATCCTTATCAATTGTAATTTTTCCTCTAGTGATTGCTTCACTTACCTTATCAATTATTACTTTAAACCAACCAATTTACCTGCAAAATAAACAAAAAAATTAGAAAAAGTATCAAACTAGAAAATTAAGAAATTTAACCCATTTAATCACAAATAATATGAAATTAACCAATCATTAAATATAATAAAATAACATTTTTGATGGTTAATCACTATATATTGTAATTGTCTTCAATATCAATTGTATATAAAGAGGTGATTTGTTTTAGGGTTGGGGTTGGCAACATACACTTTACACACATAATATTGTTTCACACTTTCTTTTTTTCTCATTCTTTCCTTTACCTTAAATATACAATTATTCAAGTTTTAGCTTTTAATTAGGTAGTAATGGGTAACGACCATGACATTGGTGGTTTTGTTGGGTATAAAAAACAAACTGAATATCTTTTTCCCATCTTTTCTGACATTTTCATTCTTAAATTTTGTAAATTGGACTTGTGCCCCTAAAAGTAGGGAATATTGAGAACTGGTGAGTGTTTCTCTATATTAGCTAATTAAAAAATATGATAAGATCATTTAACTTGTCAAAATTATGTTTGATACAACAAAATTCATTATCAGGTACTACTACTAACCTATTTTTGGATGGTTTGTGATTAAAATATTCGCATATATGAATTTGTGAGTGTGGATGGGAAATAATTTATGCCTCTAGTTTCCATTTCCATTGCCTAATCCGTTACATCCCGCATCTGTTATATCGTGAGCATTACCATTACGTGCCTGTCACCACTATTAAAAACCATGGTGACAATTCAATTCTGGATACGTGGAGCCAGATTAAATTGGATTTTGGGTTAAAATGTTCTATCTTACCCAAGTAGAAATGAGATTTTTTGGCTGGCAGAATGGCAATACATAACATATTCAAAACAGTTCTCAAGGGTTGTCAGCTTTCTATATATGTTTCTTTAAGTGGTATAGCAGTTGGGTATGTGGCATTGGAGGTATATAGCTAAGAGTTTAATTTTTTTAATGTGCAGTATGGTTGCATGGCATATTCTACCCAGTTTGAAGCTTTTTCTACAACTTATACTCCAGTTAAAGAGTATGTACACCAAACACTATCTGTTTCTTCTGAAGAAATTCCATAAATATCTCCTAGGGAAGATCCAAATGTATCTCATGTACATGCTGCAGTGTTCTTTCACCTCACCTTATGAACAATGATACGGTGGTAGGCCAATCAGATAATTCAAGGAACTCGGAAGCAAGCATGGAGTACCTCCAAGGACATGGGTTCTCACTAGAAAAATGCATGGATCCTATGATTCTTGGTGAGGCTGAAGAAGGACCTGGCCTTGTTAAGCCATCTGACGAAGAGTATCATAATGCTGGAGAGAAGATGCAGCATCTGGATGCCAAGATGAACTCTGGGGGTGAGGGTGAACCTCCATACGCCATTAAATCATTCAATCATGAGCAACATGTGAATGCAGAGCTGATGAAATTTTCAGGAATTACACCACCAGATAGCAGAAAACATCAGAATGCAGAAAAATGGCCTATGTCCCTTACCATTGATGCAACTCCTGAGTCCAAATTCCCAGATGCTTCAGGTGCACCCTACTCGTACAATCTATAGCAAGACAAATTGTTTGTGCAGTCAAAAGCTTGACATGTACTATTGTTTTGTTATTCTTATCTGATTTGCATCTTTGTTCTGTGTTTTTACATGTGCTGAAATTAGGTGGAAATTGCCATTTTTGGACGAGTAATTGACTTATTGTGCTTATAAGAGGTTTTAGATGTGATTAAGGTTTATTTCACTGCAGGGGCTGCTACACCAGAGTTTATGGCTGTCCGAACTCCAGCTACTAAGGAGCATGCAAGAGTTTTAAACAAGCGAAAATGTATATTTGATGACATCATCGTGTTTCCTAACAAGTATGTCCTGGTAACCTTAAGTTTGACTCCTTTTGTACAGGTGAAACTAGATTGGATTGGTTTAGACCTTCTAGATAGACCATGCTTTCTTTTATCACTACTTTGATTGTGGGGTTTATTCTCTGATCAGATGTTTATTTCCTGCTCCCCCACCCAAAAAAAATTAAAGAAAAAGGGAAACATGTAGGATTTTCTGTTGGCTATATCGGTAAATATGGCTTCAAACCTGAACTGTGCTCCATGATAAGTTTTTCTATTTTCTTTTTTTTATTTCTTTCGTATTTTTGTTACTTCTTCCAAATTAGTCTGAAATTTTAGGGTATTAGTGTATACATGGCAACATTTTCACTTGTATAACCTTGCGAAGCTCCACTCATTCGTTGACATTTTTCATACAATGTGAAGTACAGCAAACTTCGCAGAAAATGTTGTAGAATTAATAACAATGGAGCATCAGATATTCAGACTGACATTAGTTTATAGCAGAACTTTATATTTTGTCATCTTAAATGGGTACAATGTAGCAAGAAAACAAATTTCTTGAAGACTGAAGGACTTACATAGTACATCATCTTTAAATTTTACAGGGTGCTTAAGCAACGCATAGATAACTCGAGTGACTTAGTTTGTAAACGAAGAAAAGCTCCTTGTACTGCTATCCATGCCTGGAAAGCTCACAAAATTTCCAGTCTCCCTAAGAGTTTCTTAGAGCCTTTGATTCCATGTGAGTTGGTGTTTATCGTTTGTGCTGCAGCATATTATATGTGATTTGCACTGTACTTACTTATAGTAGCTGCAACAGGTACTTCATTAGATGTTAGATCTCGTATCTGTGAACAAAAGTTGCAGACCCCAGCACCAGTTGAAACTGTGAAAATCCCTACAAATGTAGGTGTATCAGATTCATCAACCAGACAAAAATCTTCCAATTATGTGGAAATTCCTGCAAATGTAGCTGTATTAGAATCCCCAATTCGACAAAGATCCCCAGAACAAACACCAATTGCTCCTGCAACACCTGTTACCCACTCACCTTCATTGAGAATACATGATGTTCAAGGAATCACTCGATCTGATAGAGTGGGTCCTGCAAGCTCGTCTGAAACTGAAAGCATAGAGGAGTCATCTCCAACCAGGGAACGAGAATTAGATATCAGTCTGATGCATGAGGTATGTCCAATCAGCATATCAACTTCTCTTGCACGAATTACATATAATCCTTTCATAATAGAATGGAGAGATTATTTTAGTTTATAAGTTTGGCCATAACAAATTTGAGGGGGTTACCTTGCATGTAGAACATGAATGTTGCCATGTAATGTAAGGCTGGTTTCTCTTTTTGTATTCTGTACTCCGCTGCTGGAGTTGAACTAAAATGTATTGTATTCAAATTTGTTTGACTTGTCTACCATTGATTTGTGTCAGGAGACGAATTCTTGTGAAGGAAATAGCCAGGAAAAGCGTAAGAAATTGATTCCATTCTCCTAGCTACCCTCCCCCTCCCTTTTTTGCAACACACAAACTTCACACTCAACGGACTAATTTTTTATTGTATTTGGAAAGTGATAATTGGCATTTTGACACGACTCTTAACCTGATTGCAGAAAAATGGTCTCTGAGAACCAGGTATGGTGGACAGGGGAACATAGAATTTTCTCCATTGGCTTAAAGGTCAGTTACTCTTGTGACCCTTGTATGAGATTTTTAAACTTACTAAGCCTCTGGCTTACAGAACAGTGGCAAGTTACCTGCACAAGAGCTTTCTAAACCAAAAGAAACAAAAAGAGGATGAGGTTGTCAACTTGTTCCAGGTTCTGAAAGGAAAAACCAAGAAAAAAGGTGCAAGGCTATTCTATGAGATACTGGTATGGCTTTTTTCACCACTTGTGTCTTATACAATATCAATCACAAGTTGAGCTCAGATTTGTTGGAGACCAACCTAAGTGAGTTTGTGTGCCATTCCATCTAAGTCTTGAGGCTTGTTGGCATTAGACCAATTTTTTGTGGTAAACATTTTTGTGTTGTTTCGAGTGAAGCAATTTTCTACCAAGAACTCCTCATGCCTAGGATAGTCGGCCAAAGCAGTCATGTCTTGCTTTAGTCCCCCTTTGTGATGACCTGACTCATTTCCATATAAACTAGAGCACTAAACAACTCCCAATATAGATAAATTTTATTCCCATAAATAAAATAACTCGTAAAGCTTGTCATGTATACACTTTGCTTGGCTTATGTGCAAATTACATTACTTGCTCTGGAGATTCATGATTTTTCATTTCAAAGTTTTATAATCCTCTTCCTATCCAATTTTCAAGCACCTGACCAGGATTAATCCAAAATATAACATATTAATTGTCAGTGACCGTAGAATTGACAATTTGGCAAGTATGATATACAAATTAACATACTCAAGATGTCAAAGTTCAACTACAATGACTTCAGCTTTTGAATTACACCCTTCATCGCTTTCGTGGCTAATCCGTTATACGCTCTAACATCACCAAAACTACCAAACATACCTAGAGCATACTCATTATCATCACTAGAATCTGTACAAAAAACATACTATCTTTTGAGAGAGGTTGCAATCTTGAATGGGTCATACTCGAGTCGTCTTGAATTCTACTATGATTGGAATATCGATTTGTTCCCAAAGTTGACTGGGTGACCATATTGTCGAAATCATGAAAAGCTTTTCAGAATTAATGTGGAAAACTGGAGAACTTGATTCACACTGGAGTCTCTACCACCCATGAATTAGACTTTACGTCAGGTCAGTTAAGGTTCCAATACCCATTGATGCAACGGTATCAGGGGCATTACTAAATCAGATATTGCTAATTAAAATAGGATTCTAACAAAATAGGGAACAGAAATAGAAATGGAAATGAAATAACTTCATCAATCAATTTGTACATGACACAGATGCACACACCCACTGGTCCACTACTGCTCTTTCTTTCTTATCATTTTTATTTCCTTGTTTTGCTTCTCTTCATCTATTTGATTCCTATTTGATTCTATGATAGATATCATAGTATATTAACCAAGACACAAGAATCATATGTCTTTCTTTGTCTTGCACGTGACAGATGACTTTCTAGTTGATATTAGATAAGACAAACACTTGAAATATTTGTGAGTGAAAAGGGATATTCAAACTAAGAGTAGAACACCGTATATATAGTCAAATAATAATACAAAGTGACCTAAACATCCTTGTGGTGTAGACAAAATATAAAAGTCATAGTAAGGGTAAAAAAAAGAAAAGAAACCGTAATAAATTAGACTATACGCCAACACTCTCCCTCCAGCTAGGCGCAAAAATATCAACTAAGTCAAGCTTGACAACGGAGTCCCGGAGAATGGATAGAGTGACAGGTTTGGTGAAAACATCTGTAACCTGATCACGGTTTCCACAAACAATGGAGTGACAATGTCATAGCTAACCTTCTCCTGAAGAAAGTGAACATCGATCTCTATATGCTTCGTCCTCTCGTGTAGTACAGAGTCAGAAGCGAGCTGAATAGCAGATCGATTATCTCAATATAATATAGATGAAGAAGTTACTGGACATCCCAACTTCCTAAAAATCGATCATAGCCAAATAATCTCACATGTGCCAAGTACTAGTGCCCGATACTCTTCCTCTGCTGACGAGCGAGAGACAACTGACTGTTTCTTACTATTCCAAGAGATAAGATGAGCCCTTCAAAAAGTACAAAAGCCCGTAATAGATCGACTGTCACACGCTCCCCCATAATCTGAATCTGAATAACAGACTAGAGAACCAATTCGAGATCCTGATAGATAGAACAATCCAAGTCTAGGACAAGACTTGAGGTACCGAAGAATATGATAAACTGCATCAAGATGAGGCTGACAAGACCTGTGCATGAACTGACTAATTCGGTTGATAGCGAATAAAATGTCTGGTCTAATGTTGGCTAGGTAGATAAGTCTACCTACCAACCTCTGATAGACAGTCGGTTTGCACACCAGCATCCCAGTGTCTGAGAAAAGATTCAGAATATACTTCCTCTGAGCAAAAATAATATTCCTATTGCTACGGGCAACCTCAATCCCAAAAATGTATCTCAAAAATTTAAGGTCCTTCACATCGAAGGTCTTTCCAAGGTCTATATTAACCTTGTGCAATCCCAAAAATCATTCCCAGTAATAATAATATCATCCACATATACCAAAAGAATGACACACTGCCTAGAAGTTTCTATTGAATAAAACATGCATGATTAGAATGACATTTGGTGAACCCTAAACGTACAACTGCACCACTAAACTGAGAAAATCAGGCTCGTGGTGATTGTTTCAGTCCATAAAGAGACTTACGCAGTTGACACACCTTTTCAGCATACTCCCCCTCACCACAAAAGCCTGGTGGTGCATCCATATAAATAATTTCATCCAGATTACCGCGAATAAATGCATTCTTCACATCTTATTGACGAAGAGATCAAGAGTACTCCGCAATCAGAGAAATAATCAACTGAACAGTAATTAATTTTGCCACGGGGGCAAAGGTAGCACCAAAATCACGACCTGGTACTTGAGTAAAGCCCTTCGCTAGGAGCCTAGTCTTGTGATGATCAATAGTACCATCCACAAGAAATTTCAGGGTGAAAACCCAGCAACAATCAACAGTCTTTTCCCCTGAAGGTAAAGAGACAAGATCGCACGTATGATTTACGCTGAAGAGCATCTATCTCCGCTTGCATGACAAGAATCCACTGCAGCTCCCATATAGCCTCTGAAATAGAGCGAGGAACCAGCGTATTTGACAAGGTCATTTTATAAGCTTAAAATTTAGGAGATAGATCATCATAAGAAATATAAACAGAGATCGGATATAAAGTCCTGGAGGTCCAACCATAACGAACAACTAGACGATGATCATATCGCGGATAACGACGCCCTAAATCATCATCCTCCACTAACAATGTCTCATCAGGGAAAGTAATTGGCTCAATACCTGCAATCTCATCAGTACTAGCAACAGGTGCATTAATATGCTCAACGAATTAAGAAGTATTACCTGCATCGCTTGAGGTAAAAGGAACGTTAGAAAGAGGATGAAAGCGAAGGAGACGAACATAAACTTGCAAAGGAAGAGAGACTAATGACTCTGTATTGGCAGGGACGAGTGACTCTGGAAGAGAGACTGATGACTCTGTACTGATAGTGACCAATGACTCCGGCTTTTGTGATAACGAAAAATTAAAGGGAGTATCATCAATTGGAGGGGTAGACATAGGAATGGAAGAAAAATAAGGAATATGCTCAAGAAAGGTAATATCTAGACCGTGATACATATGACGTCTGATAAGATCATAACACCGATACCCCTTAGATTGATGATAAATAGCCCACAAAGATACAACGAATCGCTTTATCATCAAGCTTATGGTGAGTAGGAGATCGATTCTGAACAAAACATGTGCAGCCAAAAACACTAGAGGGGACCGAAAAAATGTCTGCTCAGGGAATAAGACTTGTAAGGGAGCCCTATGCTGAAAAATACGACTCGGTGTACGATTGCACAGAAAGATAAAGTCAAAACAACAAAATTCCAATCATATTTTAGTACTCCCATACCTCTAAGCATACAACGTGTCATCCCTATTAGATTCTTATTTTTTCTTTCAACAACTCTATTTTGCTCAGCAGTATATGGACGAGTGAGCTGTTGAAGGATACCCTGAGAGGAAAGGTGAGACACTAAGGCATGAGACACATGGAAAGGTGAGACACTAAGGCATGAGACATATATTCTTTGGGATTATCCGATGAAGAGCACGAACAATGACATCGAATTGTGTCTTAATCATCTAGAAAAACTGAGAGAAAGGTAAAAGTCAAAACAACAAAATGCCAATAAGATTTTGGTACCCCTATATCTCTAAGCATACAACATGTCATTCCTATTAGACTCCTATTTTTCCTTTCAGCAACTTTATTTTGCTCAAGAGTATATGGATAAGTGAGCTGCTGAACGATATTTTGAGAGGAAATGTGAGATACTAAGACATAAGACACATATTCTTCGGCATTATCCGAACGAAGAGCACAAACAATGACATCGAATTGTGTCTTAATCATCTAGAAAAACTGAGTGATGCCAGGGAGTACATCAGACTTCCTATGAAAAAGGTAGACCTAAGTACAACGGGTATGATCATTTATAAATGTCACACAGTATCAAGCACTTGACAGAATAGTAATAGGAGAGAAGTCACAAATATCAAAGTGTATTAGGTCAAATGACTTGGATGACTGGTGCATGCGAGGAATATAATTGGTTCGAACATATTTCGATAGAGAACATATAACATAGTCAAATTTACCACCAATACAAATATTGCTCAAAACAGGAAATAACATATATAAATATTTAAAATCTGTATGCCCAAAATAGTCATGACACAATTGAACAGCTTGTGATAAAAAATCATAGCGACAAGTACTAGGTAGAATACTAGCATGCAAGCTAGGAATAGATAAAGACAAAACAGGTGCAAGTGATGAAGGTGGAGGAACAAGTGAAATTGGAGGTGGTGGATCACCTAGATAATATAGTTCATCTCTCTCATGTCTCCTGATAATAATCCTCTTGGTACTCAGGTCCTACAAATAACACGAATCAGATAAGAA